ATTAGTGTTTGGATTTTATTGTTTTTCAATAAATACACTTTTGTATTTGGCAAGAAATGCAAATATAAGTTCCTTTTTTTACCTTGCTTGCCAGTATTAAAGGCCGATTCACTGTGTTTATTTTTTGTAGAAGAGTTCCAGCTCTGTTGATTCGTTGGATTAGACGATTACTTCCGCTAAGCCATATCTCTGATCCTATGCAGTACAAAGAGCAAGAGCCACATAGGGCCTTTTTTGGCCCTGTGAATTTCTGAAAATCTATAACTGTATGGTTTTAGTCGACAAGGCAATAAATAATACTTGAACACTTGCTGAATGAATATGTACTGAAAATGACGTAATTTTCTTTCTAGTTGATGCATTATGACGTCATGAATTGCGTCATTATTCACATATCCTGAATATTTCTTCAAAAATGGCCAAAATATATCATTTTTTTAAAATTTCGTATACAGCACAACCTCCGATCCAAAATGTGTAAATATATTATAAAAGAACTGTTAATGAAGATTATAAAACATATTTTAATTTTTGGATCGAGGGGTGTGCTCATATTTTAATTTTTTGCTGAAGGTTCTCAAAAACACCTGTTTTCTGCAACATTCAATAACAATGCGATTTCACACAACCTGTTTTCCAATGCCTGGACTTTTCAAAGGAAATTCTGTTATATAAACTGAAAGCACTAAGTCTCTACTTTACATTTATGTTGAAAGTGGTACACAATGTGTTAGTCAATAAATTGGTACCTGTACAGGGCCATTTTATGCATAAAGTGAACCTAGCTCTTCTCAAGCTTGGAGAAGACTTCGTAATTGGCATACGGGACTTTGAATATTGTGAACAGAGATATTGTGCATGAAACAAAACGTGGTCAGAAGTGCATCCTTTTCAACAAATCCATGTTGAAACGTTGGACAGGTACCTTTTTGTTTTGGAACCCGAACGTTTTGATTCTTTGTCTCATATCCCAAAAGTGCAGTGGCATCATAAGAGCAGAGAATGCTGCTGTTTTTTCTCAATCATTACATTAAGTTCCCCTTTAGTGTTACCAACCAAGGCTAAAAGTCATTATTTATTGGCTCTCTTTCTTGTTTCTTTTTGTCAATTTCAGCAACCAGCTGATTACCTATCTCATGCACAGCCATGCATATTTTTTCTTCTTGATCTTTTATTGCATGTATAAAAGTATCAAACTTGGCAACTGATGACGCTTCGTTAATGTTGTTGTACATTGGAATAATGATGTCACGAAGATCTGCGGTATCATCAATGATTAGCTGCTTACGATTTTCCAGGACTTTCTCAAGACTCAAAAAGGCATGATCTTTGTGCTTGTAACGCATTCTACACATATGGGAATTTGGCAACCTTTGCAGAAAATCTCACATCATTTTTCATGATGAGCCATGCATTCTGGAGATATGGGTACCTTTCTTCTAGATTTGAACTCAACCACCATTTTCTTGACTTGTCAGCCATGTGCACAGAAATGCACTTAGCACAGAGGTCAAAATTGCACAAATTGCAGTGATATTCAACAAGAATGGGACATAAACGACAACGAACGACATCCTGTCCTTGAAATAAAGCCATGTTCTTTTTTTTCTGAAATTATATTGAAAACCTAAAAATCAAAAATACAATAAAAACAGTCAATGTTGTTTTATCAAATTGTTAGACTTGATACAGAAGAGAAATATGGAGAACCAGAACACTATATACCGAACAAGATACAGTGAGAAATAGAGGTTTATATGCTGTAGATTTGGGCAATTTGGTCACTAAGCATAAGGATGTCCAGCAAACTTTAGTAGAAGAAGCCAAAATGATTTAAACAAGTGCAGGGGACAGACACTAATCATATTTCATCATTTTGTTTGTCCTTTAATTTTTTTTATTTTGAATTGCCGCAAGCGTTATCATTACTTATAAAAGATATTCAATTTAAAGATCCACTAAATCTCTAACACCTTAGCATCTCTGATTAATTTAAGATACTGGTTTTTAATACAAAATTTGTCAAAAGTCTGCTTTACCTTAGTAGCTGTACATTTTTAAACGCTTTCTACATGTGTGTAGATCCAAAATTACACATGCACTTTACCAAGATTTGTGGCATATGGATGAATTTGATATGTTGCCTTTAGATATCAGCAAAAATGTTCCGTACTTACTTTTTTGCTCTTGAATGGAAAATGACATCTTTACTTTGGTTGGTGGTGGCCTTCTCAAATAAGATAGCAGTTTGAGAGAAACTTATGTACCTGAAATCCTTATATACTTGATAAGGAAACTGTGAAGAGGTTAACACTGATTACTTGGAAAACTGTCAACCACGTAGGTATGGGCTATTAAGAATTATTTTAGCCTATAAATCGTCCTCAATTTTCATTGAAATATCGCTTGTTTAAACCATTTATATCTTCGGTAGGGATTAATCTTGTTCCTAATATTTGCATAAAACAAATTCCAAGAAAATTGATTATTGTGTTTTACATGTTTAGAATTCTTCGTATTCCTGAGATCGATCACTTTTTGTTATCTTCACCTTTTTTTCATTTGATAGATTTTTTTTAAAAATTGGGTTTTTCTTTTGAATTGCTTACCTGCAACGGGTGAGATTACTTTTCCCCTCCTTAAATGCCGCCTAGCCCGAGTTATGCAGCTTATAAGTGCTTTACGAAAAAAATGTTCAAATTCAGTTTCTTATTAAAAACAGTGCATTGGAACATTCCTTATGTTAACGGTACTTCCTTTACTTCATTAGGGTGCAAATAAGTATTTTTTTAGGAAAAAAATAGTGTAATTTGATAGCTCTAATAATTATAACATAGAGTTTCCATACTGCATGTTGATAATTCATTCTATAATTTAACGTTCTAAATCTGCAGTTAGTTCCAAACTCAGCGGTAATAAATCATTTTTTTATCAATGATCAATGGCTGATTGTTTATTTTTCTATAACCTATAAGAACTATGTGTTGATTATTTCTGAGTTTGACATAGCGTGTACGAGTACTTTATTAAATAATTGAGTTGAAATGACACTTTTATATGTTTCAATTTCTTTTAAAAAAAGTCATAATGTCTACAATTATTATATTTTACTTTTGCTAAGAATTTTAAATTTTACGATAGCTGTTTATTGCAAGGATGAACTGAATATATCAGAAATGAGATTATGTTTCACTGTTGTTGCTCCAAGAAATTCTTATTTTAAAATGGAGAATCCCTTTAATGCGTTTTGAAGAAACAAATATTTAGTATGAAAAAGAGCTTCTTTTTCTGTTAATATATAGCAGATGGATTTGTTCCCCCTAGATATCTTTTCTATATATCCTTCGATAGAAATATCATTACTCATTACACTCATCACGGTCTGACCACACGTATATCTCGTCTGTATCTCTTTGAAATATAGAACAAATTAATCATAATTATCCTTATCATGTAATTTCTAAACTGTTTTCAATTTGTCTAAGTAAAAAGAGACACCAAAAAATTATTATATTGCCAATCCTTCTGATTTCCAATAGAATTATGTAGTAGGTAACATCCTCTGCTATCTTGCACAAATGCCTGAAAAAGTACCCCTTTTTTAGGAAACGCGTTAAAGTAGCAATACATCAATGACAAATTCTTGGGAAAATTATACATTATTAAGGAAGTGTCGTCTGACCTTAATTGATATTTTGAATGTGTTTGGAAAAATGAATTAAATGATAAAAATATCCTGAAATGGTCAGATTTTAAAATAAGTGATGGATTAAGGACAAGTTGGTGCAGACTTTTATATCTTATTTAGTACACCAGTCCTATTTATATGTCAATCATAAATGTTTATAACCAAAAACAGGACGAAAAGGAATTTCTGCAAAAAATGACTTCAAATAAACTTTAATCCTGTAACAGATAACACATATGTTCCCTATCTTCTTTTAAAAGTACTTCAACCTATATATATTGTGGAAAAACAAGACAAAAATTATTATTTTGGCTGTGTTTAAGTTTGTTTCCTAAAGGTTTAAAAAATGATAAACTAATAGAAATCAACTAGATATTTTTAAGCACTGCAAAAAAGGGGCATCCGCCCTTTAATGATCTTTTTAAAAAAAAATAGACCTTGAATAAGAATACACAATAAATCTTAGGCTTTCTTAATGTAGGTTCACTTTATGCATAAAATGTCCTTGTCCATATAACAATTAATTGACTAATACCGTACGTCCCACAGTAAATCTCAATATAAATTACAGACACATCTTTTGTTAATGTGTTCCCTCTCAGATTCGAATTTTTGGAAAATAAATTCTGTGAAATTGCATTTTCAGAAAACAGGAGTATTTGAGTACCTTCAAGAAAGAAACATAAGCACATTCTTCTAACTATAAACGGAAATGTGCTTTATAACACACAAAAGCAATTATATCATGATATAACTGCACATTTTGGATCAGAGGAATATCGAGAATCAGCAGTGGCCATTTTAAAGTCATTTTCAAGATATTGAAAAAAAGAATCTCAGCTTACGACGTCACAGTGCATTAACTAGCGGGAATATTACATCATTATTAAAACATATTATGTTATCATGTAAATAAAAATTTAAATATGAAAAATGTTTAAAATGTTCTTTAAAATTTACAAATATCTTTCTACAGATTTAAATTAAAACTAGAATAGTGTTACTACTGAGCTTTATCGAGGGAACAAGAATAGCATCTTCTGCAATGTACTTATACAGGGGATATTCAATGTATTGTAGTTTGATGTAGAATTTATTTCACGTATATGATGGGACGTTTTTATATTGTCACAAATATATTGCACAAGAAAAATATATTTAAAAAAACAATCCTGTCTCATGGTAAACTAACTTTATTATACAACTATAAAGCATGGAATTTCCCGCCCATTACATGTCATTATGGGTTTACCTTTTGTCAATATAGGTTAAGAAACTCATCTTGTTAATTTCCGGCTGCTATTGGCTGCGGATGTCCCGGGTCCATTTCCCCGATCTTGACAGGGAGCTGAAGGCGGATGTGACCTGTCATAGGGGTGCCTTTTCTACGATGCATATATGGCACCAGATCCCACCTCTGATGTTTTCATGGGTTTTTGTTTGCTCTGATCTCAATACGGATAAATTGCAGACTCTCATCATTGAAAATGCAATAAACATGATATACATTATTCTTCATAAAATTTATCATAAATAATACTAATTAGAACGATTATGTAGATTGTGATTGAAGATTGAAATCTTTTTAAATAATTTGTTAATCTGTAGTTTAATTTGATAGATAAAGAAGGAAAAAAACTTAAAGAAGTGCTTGATTTTCATGACTCCCACTTCCTCAACTGCAACAAATCTGATCAATCTTCTTTTCCATAGAATTAGAGCACTGGACTTATTTTCAATTTAAGATCAACTATGTGATCTCAAATACCTCTTTTAATATTTATTCTGAAAGTGTTTATGCTGAAATCTAATTAAAATTATTCACTTTTTTCTTTCATTTAAACCAAATAATTTAACGTGTGAGAAAAAGAAAAAAAGAAAAGAAAGAAATGATACACCTCAGATTTTAAACTAAATCAAAACGGAGATAAAAATATTTAACATATATACTATTGTGATGGAGATTTATAGCTTTTAAGTGTTTCTAGCTCAGGGATAAAATGGGGAAATATTTAATAAATTATTTGATAAATACACATGTACTAAGGGGGTTTTTCTAAATAATAGCTCAGTGTTTATTACTTTTTCCAAACTGCAAAAGATGATATTATAAGCAATCTTAGTCATATATTTCCTTATTTAAATTACATTCGTTAACATGCAGGACTTAGTATATACACTGAAACACAGGGAAAAAATCACTTCAAGTTCATATTTTCCCAGGTGATTTTATGTGCAGGAAAAAATAAGAGATTCACACATCTCATAAAATCAAGGTAGGTTTTAAAGCTTTCTCGTTTCTTCACCTATTTTATTTTAATCCAATTAAATAAACAGAAAAAAGTAATTAGCGGATTTAGGAATTTAAAGAAATATACCGCAAATAAAAATATTTTCATCTATAACATGGACAACAAGGAAAACATTTTTTTTTTACATGAGCGAATAACATCGTGATTAAGGAGTGTTTGAAAAAAAAACCTTTAAAAGAGGAAACAGTCATAATTTATACTGTTATACCATAATATTTTAAATATAATAGTCATTTCCATCCTTTCTAAATCTCTATTTAATATGATTCCTCAATCTGCTTATATATTTCATCTAATTTCTAAATTCACCTATGTATTTCTAAATCCGCCTATGTATTTTTGATTTTGTAGAATGACGGACTTTAGAGTAATTGTACTGGGATTTTTTGTTATCATGACAATATTACCTCAAATTCTACCCCTGGATTGTGCATCAATCAAAAGCTGCGTATGCCATAAGGTTAACGGAAAATTATGGGCAAATTGTGAACACCTCCATCTTGCAGCAGTACCGTCATTTCGCAAAGACGTCGTAGGAATTAATTTGGCTAACAACGTAATTTCCCATTTTCCTACCAATCTTCCTTTAGATATCGCATATTTAGATGTCTCGAAGAATAATCTAAGAAATGTTACTCAGCGCTCATTGACAAGATACGGTAATTTGAAAAATATAAGCATTTCGGAAAATTTGCTACAGACAATTGAACTGGGTTCGTTTAAATACACACCAAAGCTTGTGCATCTTGATATTTCCGGTAATCAGGAATTAACTCTAGAGGTTGTGGCCAATATATCGAGTGATTTGGAAAATTCTACTTCGATTCGAGTTTTAAATTTTGAGAAATTACAGTGCACGTACGGAGTAAGTTACATTGTTAAAAAGTATCACATTATTGGTCTGAAGCACACGCGATTGGAGGAACTTAACTTGGCGTCAAATCGCATCAATAGCCTGGAATTTGGTGTTCTCAGTGAGCTTCCTAAGTCCCTGAAACATCTAAATCTGGCCAATAACGTACTCAGTTATGGACTTTATATCGTAGAATTCGGGGGTTTAATCAATGTGGTGACACTCAATGCAAGTTTTCAGTCATCATTTCATCAAATACGAGTTAAAGATTTTTTCTTAAGTTGCAATGATACGAGGCTAGTTTGTAGGACTTTATCAGAAAACCATCGTGGGAATTTAGTACGGAACAACAGATTGTCGTCTTACAATATAACAATCTTTATTCCACCTAAAATACAAGCATTTTACTTTCACGATAATTTGTATAAAATGACTCTTCAAGATTACGCACTCAGTTCTACCAGTAAGCCTGTCTTGACAAAGTTGTATTTGCAGAACAATATTATCTATAAACTGATTGGTCCCATTACAGGCATAGCCAGTGTCTTTCATGCAGATTTCTCCAACAATTTTTGCAGCTATATCTCGCCAAGATTTTTCGAAGATTTTAAAAACTTGTCTTTTCTGGATCTTTCCCATAATGCTCTAGGAGAAAATCTTGAAAATGACCTCGATGGAAATTTATTTCAAAATCTGCGCATGTTGAAGTCTTTGAACCTTTCACGAAACAGAATCGTTCGACTTCCCAAGAAAATATTTCGTAATCTAAAACAACTGGAAATTCTTAACCTCAGTTCTAATTCTTTGAGTAAGTTTACAGTACCCATAAATCATATGGTTCGTCTTTTTTACCTAGACCTCTCTGATAACCAGATATCGACCATGAGTTTAGAAACTAGGAACATGTTAGACGCAATATCACAAAAGAAGCTTGTTTATGTGAATCTAAAGGGCAACGAATTAAGATGCAACTGTGAAAACTTGGAATTCGTGAAATGGATCCTTAATTCCAAGAATATTGATTTTCGTCATTTTGATGATTATGTGTGTACTTTTTCAAATTCCTCAAGACTTCCATTCTATGATATCGATCATCTACTCCAGCTGTTGGAGAAGCAGTGTTCCTCGTATACTCTTATCATCGTCATTATGACGTCATTAACAGTCGTTATTTTGACAATCACCGTCAGTCGTATTCTCTATAGATATAGATGGAAACTAAGATATATGTATTATGTGGCCAGAGAAAGGTATATCGTTAATGTTCGAAGACAGGACGCATTACCAAATGATTTGTATCATTTTGATGCATTTGTATCGTACTCTGACGAAGACAGACTATTCGTCATCGACCTTGTTAAGCACTTGGAAAAGGAATTCAATCTTAGGCTGTGTATACATCATCGTGATTTCATCCCAGGGACAGGAATAGCAGATAATATCACAAACGCCATTCATAATAGCAGGAAAACCTTCTGTATTATGACGTCACACTTTTTAGATTCGTACTGGTGTATGTTTGAACTAAACATGGCACGCATGGAGGCCATTTATTCCCGAAACGGTGAAAATGTTTTATTTTTGGTTGCATTAGAGAAAGGTGTCATGAAAAACTTACCATTAGCATTCATGGATCTGATTGAGTCAAAATCTTACTTAGAGTTTCCAGAGGGTGGAGACGAGAATGAAGTCACAGCCTTTCGATCCAAGCTTGGAGATACACTCAGATCTGGTGACAATCAGTTTAGATCTTTATAAGCATGCAGAAACAAGTTGTATATTATTGTAATACTGCAGACGTACTTTTTTCCGCGTTGGATTAATTTCCGCTATGTATGCTGTCACATGTTTTCCGCGGAAATTTGTCACAGCTCACTAAAGATTCATTAAGAACATATAATGAAAATCCAAGATATCCGCGTTATTTTATACTCGTAGATTGAGCAGAAATTCTGATTCCGCGGAATTATGACCCCGTGGAATAAAGTATTTACAATATTAAAGGGCCTATTACTTTACCATGTAAGATGTATGGAGTGGATTTCACCTTATTGTTATATTATAGTACTTTACCATGTTGTATGTATATGGAGGTTTGACTGTAGAATGTTTCCTTTTTTCATAGGCTTATGGATTTTAATATAGTGAATTAGTGGTCTGTAGAGTAGTATCTAGCTGTAATTTAATTACAAATGATCTTATGTTAATTTTCGTTTGACAATCTGAATGTTTACTTATTAAGGTCTTTCGTTTCCAACGGAAGACCTTCTACTGATTCTGATGGTTAAGATTATTAAGGTCTTTGGTTTCCAACGGAAGACCTTCTACTGATTGTGATGATTAAGATTATTAAGGTCTTCCGTTTCCAACGGAAGACCTTCTACTGATTGTGATGATTAAGATTATTAAGGTCTTCCGTTTCCAACGGAAGACCTTCTACTGATTGTGATGATTAAGATTATTCTTTTTTTTTTTTTTTCCTAGACGCCAACTTTGACGCTTCATATCTTCCTCATTTCTAAACAGATTTTGTTCAAATTTTCAGAGCTTTTAGACTTTACAAAACACTGTCAGAATACCGTAATACAATTCGGAAATTACCTTCTGTTCACGAGTTATTCCCCTTTGATTGAATTTTGCATGCCTCCGATTTCCAGACAAAGGTTCAGAAATGGTTATAATTGGAGCACAAAACCCTTTGAAATTGAAAAGAGGAAGCATTGAAGTTGTGCACATCGGTTTTTGTTTTTTGATTTTTGCATTAAAAATGGCGCTAGAGAGGGGTCAAAAGTTAGAACGCGGAAAACAGCAAAAAATTTGACATATTTTCCTTTATATCTTGAAAACTAGAAATATTTTGTTAAGACATGTAGAACAAAAGTTGTGCATAATTGCAAGGGCTTTCATATTATACTATTTAAAAGGGGCTGGCCCCTATGATTAGGGATCTTGAGCCCTTAAAAGTTTTTGCTTTATAACTCAAAAACGGTAAATATTTCGATCTGGATCTTGGGAACAAAATTGTTCTTTTACACCTTTTTGATCTAATGAAAATGTTGTTTTGTTCGAGTATACCATGGGTATTGCGTAATAGGTATTAGAAAGCAGGCCAGGTAAACAGGTAACGTTTTTCATTCGGCAAGGAAATCAGACCTCTTCATGTGTATAACTTAAACAGACTTGCTATCAATAATATACCCTGCGGTATTTAATGTTAATTTTCTTTTAATAAGGTTTAAAACGTGGTTTATGGTTCACTATTAAATTATTTATTACAACTAGTCTTTCTTTTCTTCTTTTTTAAATTAGATTAATAGTGTTCAAAAGCGGCGAATATTAAATCTATCTTTATACGTTTATTATTACAACAAACTTTGTAAGTGATTTTAAACTGTATGCATTGAATAATTCACGATCATTAGCTGTATGCATATTACGGTCTCCATGTTCAGCTCGATGTTTAGTTATGTAACCCAACGCGCGAATCCCACGCTGTTGATCGAGGTCACCAGTGTACTAGCCACCTGTGGCCATAAACAAAGCTAGTATTTGTGATCGCGTATAATGTCAATTTTGTACAAAGAGCTATTAATTAATGGAAAGTTATATTTTCAATTATATCGAATCAGTAAGACTACTTTACCGATCTTTTATAATCTTAATTCCAAACACTGGTGCATAAAAATCATTTTGAATTTTAATCGCTGTTTTTGTCTGTTCACGCAACAATACATTTAGAAAAGAAAGTATTGCTCTATCCCGTGTTGTTGTATTTTAATTCATCTGCAATTGTAATTGAATGGGGGCTTCGGTAAATAATTGTAATTACTACGCATGCTACGCACATATTATTTTTACCATCACTCTTGTGAATGTCCATTTATTATTTATAAAATTAAATAAACATTAACATAAATAAAAAATCCTTCAAATATACATGTACTATAATTCAAGTCTTTGTAATATAGCAAACAGTTTCATCACTTCACCGACTTAACCACTAGGTTTGCAACAATTTATTTTTCTGTCTCACGTTTTAAACTGCATGTACACATGCATAATAATTGTAAGTGGAGGTGAGTCAGGTGACGTTTTCAATTCTCGGGAAAATCGAAAATTAAATTAATCACTTCTAAGTTTGCATTATTTGCTACCAAACTTATAATTGTATTGTACAGAATGATATACTTATGCATTTCTTTTATTTCGTCGAATAAACAGAATATCCCAATACACGATTTTACGGATACATGCTTGTAAGTACATGCAGTTTTACATGGAAGAGCGCCCAAACCAAATACATCCTAAGCTTTCAGAATACACGTGATTGTGTACAAAGCAAATGGGTAATTCACAGATAAGGAAAAACAGAAAAAACATGTCTCCATAAATTAAATACACAATCGCAATGATGATTTGATTGATCAGCATACGGTTTTTTATCCTTCGTCCATGCATTTCGACTATACGGAAAAAGATCCGATTCAGTAAAATTATAGCAAACGAGGTTGAAAATTGTCGGACTTTTTATCCAAATTAAAAAAAAAAGTGTTGGTCCTTTGAATGGCAATATATCCGAATAGTAATTAAACAGCTTATCAAATATATCACGGCGTCCATATAAGGATGAAACTTTGTTTGGTAAATAAAGTGGTTCTTACAAATATGTCACAAATCTTAAACATCTAAATAATTATTTAATTTTTCTAACAAATACTAATTTGGTTCTAAGAAAGCTACGCAGTTGTATGCAAATATTCCAAAATAATCTTTCATGTTTAATGGACTGACAGGTAATCAAATTTCCTCTAATCACGATACGTACCCCCCCCCTTAAAAGAATACAATGTTTTTCTTTAGAGCCGAAAATGTCAATCGGTTGGTTTGTTCAGGTACGTATACATATAGGTGAGGGCTGGTGTTGAATTCCGAGAGAAATCCACAACCTACATGTATTTTAAAGTAAACCAATAATCATACGCGACATTTGTTATTCGCGAATCGTCAAATGAATGAAAAACAAGGTCTGCAACGATTAATATCTGTGACTAAGCTTTCCTATTTCATAAACTTTTTAAGGTCTTTTATTTTATTTCTAAAACTTAAAAAATGTAACGATTTAATGTGTTCATTGGAGTGGTCAATTGCACATTGCATGAGCATCGAAGTGTGTACTAATAGTTTCTTTGGGTGGGGGGAGGTACCATTTTCGGTGCATTTGATTTCCGGAATTTTGCATTGCACATCCGACAATTAATAAATTTCACTTTTAACATTTATTATTTTCATTCCGGATTTTTTGACTATATTTCCAGCAATTTAATGTTAACAAAATAGATGGAATTAAAATTTTAATAGGATATAAATGGTGAATGGCTGAAAATTTATACATTTTATAATGTACATGGTACTTACGGCCTTTGAGCAGTAAGGGCCGATGGAATACGGAGAAAATGATCAGCATTCCACAGGTAAAATGTTAAGGAAAAATGTACTTTTCCTTTGTGGAAAAAAGTGAAAGAGAATAATCTAAATGTGGAGACCACACTCTCTTTATTTGATACATATGTAGGTTCTGTTCTTCATTATGGATGCGAGATGTGGGGATTTCATAAAGCCCCACATGTTGAGCAAGTACATATTAACTTTTTGAAGAAAATTATGTCGCTTCGAAAATCTACAAATAACTTAATGGTTTATTTCGAATTTGGTAGATGCCCAATGTATGTTCAAAGAAAACTTCGAATTCTGAAATATTGGTGTAATTTGCTCAATACAAATAATTGCATTCTGTGGACATGTTATAAACAATTGTTATGTGAGTATGAAGAACAACAGGAAAATTATACAAACTGGTTAAGTGCAGTTAGAAAGCGTTTTTAAAACGCTATTTGGTTTGAGTGATAAAATCCTTTAAAAAGAATATTGATGACAACCTTAATTCATCTGGAAAATCTGCAGCAAAATTTAAATTCTAATGAGTCGATTTCGACTTCTTTATCAAAATTTTCCCGAACTTTTCCGTAGACCTCTGGCTTTTCCCTAAATTCTGTAACACTCGGAAAACGAGAGTTATCCGCTAGGTGTCGTTTCTGCATCACTTCCGTATAATTTCTACTTTGACATTTCCAACTCTTACATTTTTTACGTTTGGCGATGAATACGCGGATTATTGTGGAATGCATAGGCAATTAAATAGCACGATTAAAGACAAAAAATGTCTACCGATACAAGATATAATAACATATTTTGGTGACATATGGTAGGTATAATATTTTAGGCCCGATATCGAAGAGTTTTCATATGGAATACATTGTAAATGTGTACTAGAAGATTAATTTATGGAAAAAGACAAATAAAAAATATTCTTGGACCCAGGGTGTATATGGGGGGGGGGGGGAGGGGGGGGGGGCTGGCCACAAGCACCTGTGCAGCATTCAAGCTTAAAAGACCATTCAAACAATACAAATCAGGAGCAGTGCAAATCTTTTGAAATCGGAGGTAGAATCAAGTGCCATGGATCTGTCATGTTGTAAATTTTGAACTTACCGGTTGTCAGTAAATACAAAATTTACATGTCATGTCGTAAATTTTGTATTTACTGCCACCCGGTAAATTCAAAATTTATAGCATGAGAGATCATTTTCATGCTAGCACTTACCCCGACACGAGACCTTATACGGTCTCATCCAAAGGACTGATCTCCACGTTATCCAAACTGGATATAAAACATTCTCAACGAATTTTTAAATCATTGTGTTCAGTTGAACCTAACAAATTATTCCAACTCGCTGTATGGTCTGAAAAAACATGGCTGAACTTATCCATTCAGACACCCACAGATTGGGATTGCTCTTAACCAGAGTGTGTTATGGCCAAGGTCATTTGGTCGAGTCAAGGTCACTGACAGAGAAACTGTAATTTCGCTACCGTATTTGTGTACTAGTGAAACATTGCTGGTATCATGCAGAGTGTGACATGGCCTTGACTCAAGTTCAAGGTCACTAAGGATAAGATGTTTTGACTGTATGTATGGACTAAAAGAACATGACGTGTCACTGTGAACTTTTCAAGTCGGTAACACACAGATTGGGTTTTATGACGAGAGTGTGTCATGGCTTGACGCAAGGTCATTTGGAATGTTCAAGGTCACATACATTCCTTTACTG